TTGTAGATGGGCGTCACATTGGCAAGCCCAGATAAATTTATACTGCCACAGCTTGATGTCAGTCAAATGGAAACCTAGTAGGAAATTACAGTCTCTTTCTTGAGAGGTCTTTAATTCAGCTGGTGTTCACTAGTGAGCCTTCATGTCAGGGTCTTCCTCTGAAAAAGGCAGCCAAAAGCAGTCCCTGCTTTCCCGCTACCAGGTAGCCAGAAGCAGTCAAAGCTGAGGCCAGAATATGGTGAAGGCAGCCTCTTCTGCCAAGCATCAAGTCCAGAAGAAGGTGCAAGGGAAAGACAGGCATATCTTGCCTAATGCATGGGGAGCATGGGGCAGGGGAGCCTGCCCAGTTTCTCCCTCTACCAACTTCAGTTATTTTGGCTCCTGGTCTCCATCAAATGCATTCCCAGCTGCAGCCTCCCAGTCCCCACAACACTGGGAGCTAATGAAAGTGTAAAAAATGTAGGGAAGAATATTTATGTGAAAGAAATAGTTCACAAATTTAAAAGAAAAAACCTCAAAACCTGATTGCATTTAATTTAGGCTCCTCCACTCCTGAGGACACAGCCTCAAGCCAAGCTATACTCTGCTCCATAGTGTTTGAGCTTGGATGCTGCTCTTTTGCAACCTCTCTGATGAAGAAGCAGATGTGGGTTGCTACATTTCTTGCTGGCTTGCTTGACTGCACAAATAATCTGAGAAAAGAAACAGTGGGGGTCTGTTACAGGCCACCCAACCAGGAAGACCAAGCTCTATAGACAGATAGGAGAAGTTCACAAGCCCTGGTCCTCATGGGGGACTTCAAGCACCCCAATATCTGTTGGAGGGACAACACAGTAGGGCGTAAGCAATCTGAGAGGTTCCTGGAATGCATCGATGATAACTTCCTTCTCCAAGTGGTAGAGGAGCCAACGAGGAGAGGTGCTATGCTGGACCTTGTTCTCACCAACAAGGAGGGGCTGGTGGGGAATGTGAAGCTCAAGGACAGCCTTGGCTGCAGTGACCATGAAATGGTGGAGTTCAAGATCCTTGGGCACCGAGGAGGGCACACAGCAAGCTCACTATCCTGGACTTCAGGAGAGCAGACTTTAGCCTCTTCAAGGATCTGCTTGGTTGAGTGCCATGGGATAAAGCCTTGGAGGGAGAAAGCTGGTTAATATTAAAGGATCACCTCCTCCAAGTTCAGAAACGATGCATTCCAATAAACAGGAAGTCCGGCAAAAACACCAGGAGGCCTGCATGGATGAACAAGGCGCTCCTGGACAAACTCAAACACGAAAAGGAAGCCTGAAAGATCAGTACCATTTATTTTACACATTTTAAAGTCTTAGCTTCTTTCCCCCTCCCCGCCTTATTCTCCGCTGGAGCCAGCTCTTTGATTTATTTACTGCAACACTCCTTAGGAAAATGTCTTGTTTAGACTCTCTGAAGTTTTACACTTGTCCTCTGAGTGGGTGTCACTTGCATGGCACTACTCAAAGGCGGCTGTGATATTGCTGGCACTGAGTGAGAGATATAACGTATTATAGGGTATTGCTCCGCTTTCCAGAATAAACATTTACTTGAGCGGAAACCACTTTATGGTTTTAGCTACTTATGCTTATATGTATAACAAATTTCAAAACAAAAAATGAAAAAATTTACCACCAGACAAGAGCGTGCCATTTAAAGGCTAAAAGTTCTGCTCAGGTGCAGAAGAAAAGTAATTATTAGTTTGTCTGTCAGGAGAAGAAAGATGTCACAACCTTTGAAATCGCATTCCAGTTTGCATTTCCTTTCTACGCCTTGTTCGAAGCAGATACTACATTTTGGCAGGAAATGAAGAGCAAAAGCTTCCTGCGAAGACAAACTTCATGACTCAGTTTATATAAACTAAACCTTCTGCAAGTTTAACATTACCTTTTAGAAAAACCTGATTGAATGCTCCAGGGTGAGCAGAAGAGGGATGCTGCGTAGGCTTGTGCACACTGCTAGTCACTACCTCGCTGGTCCTCACATTTGACTCCTCTATCCCGTTGGGTTTGTGTCTTCCACAGGGACTACCAATACAACCACCAGACTAAGCACCACCCAGGCACAGGGGTGCAGCTTCTGTGGATGCCAGCAGAACTGCACCCACCTATACCACAGCAGGACTTTCCCCACTGCACGTGCAACCAGTTTGGGCCGCTGCCTGCAGAATGTAATCTCCTGTCACAGGTGACACAGGAGGAGACATTTTGCTTTTCAGGTCTCAAGAAGGTGCCCAAATTAGATTGCATCTGCAGTCCTGGGATGGTCCCCTGCTCTGCTAACCACTCAGCACCACATGCACCCAAGGAAAAAATGTTTACCTGGTGTGGCCACGGTTAACCTTTTTTCCTTGCTGAGACGGTGCCCATGGATGAATTCACTCATGGAAGGGGGGCCTCTCAGAAGATATGATTCTGTGGAGGTGGGATGAGGGGGGGCTCTTAATAATTTCTGGAGGTAGGTCCCTGAAGTCCTGGAATGGCTCTGATCACAAAGGGAAGGTGAGAATAGTCTTGCAGGAGATCCAAGAAAAATACATATGGAAACAAAAGAGTTTACTTTAATTACCTTTCAAAACCTCATGAATGACAACATCACGTTAATTTGCTTAACAGGTAAAAAACAACTAGTGTTGCCACCCCATGTCATTTCCACAGCAGGGCACCTTCCCTGCATTGGAAATCCTGGTTCGTATTAGGGGAGGAGGAGAGGAGGTTGAGTTATATCTCAGCATCCTGGAGTCGACATGTACAAGGCTCCCTGAACGTTCTCTTGGTTTTGCATTGTGACTAGAGCATACAAAAAAAGGCAATGATTATCTAGGACTTCTCTAACAGAGAGTCCTCTTCATCTTCAGAACCGTGGAGATCCCCACACCTACAGAGCTTTGGCAGGGCAGTCACAAGACAAGATGAGAACTCGCTGCTTGAACAGTGAAATATTTGCATTAGGTTATGAACGGCAGCCATCCCCCTTCAAAAGGTTGCTTGCTCCCATGCAGAAAAATTGATCTGAGTGAACACATCCATATTCTTTTCATACTGATGAAGAACAAGCGAGCACCAGAGCTTAACAAAGAGATGCAGTTTCTTTTGTGTTAAGCGCTGAAATGCTCATAGACCACAATCCTTTTTTTATTTTAGATGCTCATTACGGAAAACCTTAAGGAAAACTTAAGGAAAACTTGTTAAAGAAAATACATTCACACTAATATTAAAGACATACAAGATGCACTGAGACATTGACAGAATATAGTTCAAAACACTGCATTAAGGAGGAGGAAATAACACAGCGAGTAGGTGGATCAGAACCACATGTTGCCAGGCTTTGAATTTTGTATTCATATTCTCCCCACCTCCTTCTCCCCAGTCAAAGTACAAAAAAAAAAAAAAAGAATTATAATGTTTACAATTCAGTGAACGACTTTAATGAAAGTCTGGCCACTGCACTGTACTGTAAAGATCACTGCATGCATACCTTTTCCTCTGAGTGCCACTGCTGACCAGTAAGTTTGGTTGCTGTGGGCCCTGACTATGCAGGAGGAAAGTGTCTATGCTTGGCACGGTGGCTGATGCCTCCTCACTTACTTTAGGGCTGCCGATCTTGCTCTTTCCAAGCTTGCCTTTGCTGCGTCGGGACTGCTCATGATCAAACTCTAAATCCTCCAGTCGCTGGGTAAGGGCAAGTTTTTGCTGGATAGCCATGCGCAACAGAGAGTTTAGGGTCTTCTTCTCATCCTCCGCAGCTGCTAGCTGCCTCTGCATCTCATCCAGCTGCGTGACGTACTCATCACACCTGGGAAAACAAACAAGGCAGAAATCTGAGGAACGAGTCCAAGAACCAACCTACCGGTGATCGCATTCCATTCCTGGGCCACAATTACAAGGACAGATTCACATTCAAGCTTTTGCCAAGCCTAATCCTGGAAGCAGACAGCGTGAATTCTTCTGTTACCACTTCGAACAAATTTGGACTTGGATCTCAATGCCAACACTTCTTGTATATCTAGAATATCAGAGTAGTCTATGACAACATGATACGTTCCTAATGCAGATAACGAGCAATTGGAGGGAAGGTTTGGGATTATCTCCAGGTTAGACCACAAATAACAATTTGGGGGGCTGGTTCAGCTAGTAACTCACCAGGGATAAGAATGTCTACTAATTAGGTAATATTATTTTTCATAGACAGTAATACCTACTTAAACAAAATATTACAAAAAATGATGAAAAAAAGACTGCAAGTACTTTGAACACTTGACACATCAGATTTTGTGAAATGAGAAGCCCTCAGTTGTTTGCCATTAACTGATTAAAGAGGAAACCCCAAACCTGGAAGTTATTTCACATTCACTGTTGAATCTCTTGGAGGTGTGCTCAGGTATCCATTGCTATGGTCACCTACTCCTTTTTAACACTCAGCCTCTTTTATCTGCATGAAAAACTGTGTCTTTTTCATTTGCTTTAGATCTCTGAGACAGATTTTGAAATAAAACCACCTTTCTCATCATTTTGTTATCAATTAAGACTGAACTCAATTTAGTTCCATTTTAAACAATGATTCCTAAAGTTAACAGGAAGAGCGAGGCATTTCAGGATGGTCTTGGTCACTTTTTGAAGTGAAATTGCTTCAGTTTGTTAACAATAGACCATCTAATCAGTAAGTACCAAGAGTGATAAATGTATACCAGTACTGAAATGATTCACAGAGAGCAGTAATGTCTGACCATCGGACATTTGTGGCAACATCTAAGAATTTTTCATGTTAAATGATGCAGCTTTCGTGAAATCTCCTCCCCCCGTGATCTGTATGAATCTAAATAGCTTTGCTGTGTAATTACAATAGCGTAATGGATGAGGATTTAACTTTATCAGTATCACTCACAGGAAACAAGCATAGAAAATAATTTTAGCTTTCTTACTCAAAATGCGTGACGCAATAAACTTTTCAATTATTGCAAACTGAGGGATGAAACTAATTTCTCTGAAACTTTAATCTTCTCCTTGGGAAACAGAAATAAAGTATACTTGAAAATTCGTAGTTATTCTTCACACACAAACACTCACATATATATTGCACTCTCCTTTTGAATAATTCAGGCACTGGAAGCAAAATTACTAAGTCAGCCATAGTTTCATCTACAGTTTCAGTATTATCTTTCTTCTACAGGACCTTAATAAACCTGACTGTCTCTATTCAAGCCTTGAGGAAGAGAGATATTCCTGAAACGTTGGTTGACTTAAAGCCAACTTGCACACCTATTTCTGCTCCAAGCAATGAGAAGTCTATTGATGCTTTAGCCAGTTTCTTTGACAGAGACATTAGAATGAAATCAGCATTCTGGAGATTAAATTCAATTAATTTGAAATACGAATTACTACAATGTCTGTTATGAGAGTTTTAAAGACTTATTCTTGTAACCAGGTGGATCCTGTATCCATGTCTCTTATTCTCTCTTACTTTCCTCTTTGTCTAGGAGACATTTTTTTTTTCCAAATATGTTTTCTGTTGAAAATTTTAAAAAGTAACACCTTCAGCAACACCTGTAGCACCGTGCCACTAGAGGAACAAACTGCCTTGCTTTAGTATTCCAATAAGCCAATTTTGGTTTTGGAAAAAGATTGTTTTTCCTCAGGCCTTAGGATGTGTTTTTGGTATTTAGGCATCTGCTTTGTAGAACAGCGTAACTGAGCAGTTAAGAAACATAAGCTCCATGAAGGTGGATATTACTAAAGCAGACTTAGACAAACCTGCTTTTTGTTACCTGCTAGGAACTATAAACAAGCTGGCCCTAGAAACCTGGCTATACTAGATGCTGTTAGCTGGCCTCATACTTGAGGTGAAATCAATCTCGTTAATACAACATTTTCCAACTCTTCTGATTAATTATATGCCTTCCTAGAAGTCTCCCCATAACAGCAACCCTGCATTTTTGGCAGTTCTCTGCAGTGTTTGGGTGGTTCCAGTCATCTGACCTCCACCACGACTTGAAGTTTCCTATTATTTTTCCTAAACACATGGTCCATTGTCTCTGTGTTTTGTTGCTCAAGCATGTTTTTTTTTTGAGAAACAGTGTTCAGAAAGGTTAAACCTAAATCAGTCAAGTAAAGGCCATAATTAACTTTAGAAACTGCTGAATTAACAGCCTCAGATCTCCTTGAAGTCTGCAGCAGTGAAGGTTATTCCATGTAGCGGGAGGTAGCTACTGCCTGCAGCCACGGCATTTCCCTTCACTGAAATATTCCCTGCTACGTGCAAGTGTGGGATAAAAAGAGAATTGTTTCCAGTTACAAAAGAAAAAAGCATTACATACATCCATATTGCCTCTTGCCCACACATTTTATAAACATTTGTGAAGTCTCACAAGGAAGAAAAAGGTTAAGAGCTCCTAAGAGAGATGACTTCTGGCACAGCACAGGCCATTGCGGACCGAGCAGGGGTCCAGGATGCACCAGGGCTCTGAATGGGTCTTTCAGAAGTACTTAAACAGTAGTGAATAACAAAAGTTAGGTTATGTCCTCCTGAGTCAGAGCTCTTTCCCAATTTCTCCCTTGCCCCAGGACAGGTGTAAGCTGCAAGTGACTATTCAATAAACAGTACTGTTATCTTGCTGTCTGCTGGTCTACTTATTGCCAGAAAAAAAGTCAAGATTTCACCTATTTCTCATTTCTCTTGTCTCAGAAAGGAAGCAGACAGACACATAAGCCCACTTATTTTGTATGAACTGATCCAAGAAGCTTATATAGGAGTTTAAAGGGTTTCTAATTCCTTCTCCTTCTCTTGCCTAGGAATGCAAACCAAATACCAAGTCAGGCTTATGCGTAATTTAGGTAACGTAAATCATAGCAGAGCTTGAGCTAAAACCCAGCGACACTGACAGTGACAGATTGCTGTTCTAGCCATATAAGCGTAATTCTTTTCTGCTCATAAATGTTTTCTCATCTAGGATAGCTCCAGGACCTGTCCGAACTTCCTAGTCCATCTCTTCAGCACACTGTTTTGCAGTGTCAGAACAGTGGCAATATAATAAGTAATATTTCTTGCTCTCTCCTTTTGAGTATCTCTATTTAGGTTGGGAAAGCAAGCATGTGTAGGGACTCAGTAAAATTAGCTTTCTGAAACCCTTTAGGATCCTGCTTTAAAAGTAGTTCCTTCCAGCACCAGGCTTCTTTTCCCTTCCTCTTCCAGGGAAACCCCTACTCTAGATGGGAAAACTAATGGTTTAAAGAATATATTTTTCATTTGCCCTCTGGATGAGCGCTGGCCACCAGCCTCACTGCTTCCCACTCCCACAGCTCCTGCCTGGGTCAACGACTCAGGGTTGGAGTGCAGGGAAACAACAGGAGGGGCAGGAAAGGCTCTCACCGTTTTTTCTGGTCTGGGACTACCAGAAGCAGCCCAGGACAAAATAAGCAGGCTAAAGGCAGGAGCTGCAAATCTGATGGGCAGCACATGGCCCTGGCAGGAACAGGAACTTCAACTCTGCTCTGCCAACCCCATGCATCCCACAGAAAAAAAGGTTTTATACACCGTCGCTTTGTTTTTCTTTTTTAAGAGAGGTGTTTGGGGAAAAGGGAGTTTGAACTGTATTGAGGACATATTCTTGACGGGTCTGAAATAAATTCAGAAAGGGATCACAAGACTAATGAAGAGGGAAGGAGGAAGCGGTAGAGGTCAGAACCACAGAGACTTTGGATTGGGAAAAAAACAGTCCCAGAAGGAAAAAGAGCAAAAGTAGAGGTACAAGCAGGACAGAAGGACTTTTGAGGGGGAGGAGAGAAGAACTGAAGAAAGAACTTAAGGAACGGAAGGATGCACAAGTGTTAGGGAAATCACAGAAAAAGGATGGCTCCTGCTTTCTGCATAGGGGATCTTTGGAGAAAAGTGTCATCTTTGCTGTTCAGACCAGGAACAGGTCTGCTGTGCTCTCCTTATAACGTGGTATGACCTTTGTCCAGTGCGTTTGAGGAAGAAACCATACAGTTCAGCACCAGAATGAACATCCATTTGGGGACCAAATGAACAGAAAAGGATGGTTTATGAAAGAGAAGGGATATTGCTCTATCAAAAGTATATGAAATCATTTTCAGATCTATAATACAACTCTGCTATTAGACAGATGTTCTCCCTACAGTACAAATTCAGGAATAAGTACCATGTGATGCAGGATAACCATGGAAACCACTGTTTTATTCAACAGAAGACTAAACAATTGCTTTTTTATGCTGAAGGTTGCTATTGCATCATTGTTACTGCATGAAGAATCTTACAGTCTTGTATTTTCAAACAGATTTCTCTTCCTGAACAGACATCTATAGTGTATCAGCTCTCTGTCATTTAAACAAATGCTATTCCAAATGGAGTATTCAGAATGAGTCAATGATTTGTACATTTAAGAAGATTGATTTAACTATAAAGGCCATTAGATTCCAGGGTAAGGAAGGAAAAGGAATATTTTACAACAGAGAAATCTATAGGAGCACACTGATGTGCAAGACCTTGCAGTGAATGATTTTTTTATAACTGTGCTCAAAAAATACTGGGCAAAACTTACGACCTCAAGGGCAGGGATATGTTCCACAGGCCACACAGTAAGTGTTTAATCAGTACTGTGTGGAGTTTTCCAGTAGCAGTAGATGCTTTGGGTGAGGTTTATCTCTACTAACTTTAGATATTTACAAAGTGGAAATCTATAACTTGGTCAGTCACCCAGATTCCCTTTATAGTTCACAGAAAAGAAACAGAAGCTTCATTGCATCCTACACACAAGACATCTAGAAAAGACTAGATGAATGGCACCCTTTAAGCCTAATTCTCACAGAAAAGATGCTGCTGTCCCCCACCAGCTTCAGGATATGCCTTAAACCCAACAGAAGTGTGCACTCAGGATGCCCAAATAGGGTAAAGAGCATTCAGTACACCAACAACCTAATATTCCCTTTAAGTAGCAACTTCTAAATCTTTGCAAACTTCTTTTACCTTTTAGGCTGATGATTTACCTTCCATGCAAGACCCTTGTTTGCTTTATGCTCATGATGCCACTCCTCTCCTCTGAAGTTAGTAGCCTTCCGGGTAGTCTTACAGAGTTAGTACATTCATGTATCTCCTAGAGTAATGAGCTTGCAAATAAAGATCGACACGTGCATTTCTAATACACACACACACAACTTTGCTTTCTTGAAGAAAATCTTTGGATGCCAATGAAATGAATGGAGCTACCTTGGTTCACACCACCTGCTGAGCTGGTTCTTCATCTCCATTATGCACTACCCGTACTCTTCTGACGATGAACCTACGATGAATTTGTACACAGCACCAATGTCACGGGCATGTAAACGTCCCTTCTCCTTCCTTCCCACCTCTCCCAGCTGCTGCTGCCATTGTCACGAAGCAACAAAGGACCTTACAAGGCTGGAAGAGGTGAGATGGCACCTATATACCGCAGGGAGCACTGAAGAGATGTTGGCATGAGGCAGGAAGACGTCTTATCACTTATGGACTAAAGCACAAGCAAGAAATCTGCATTGTATTTGACTATAAGGGGAAAAAAGTGCCTTGATATACAGCATAATTTCCTGAGGATATGAATTTCCTTGTGTATTTGGGAATTAAGAATTTATTGATGAAAGTGTTGGATCTTTAAAAAAAAAAAATTTTTAGATAACCTTTTAAAAAGCAACTAAACTCAAAGGCTCTTCTGAAGAAGGTGTGGGAAAAGGAAAGATGAGAGATGATTCATTACTCTCCTGCTAGGAGGAACTATGTTACAGAAGAGAAGTGAAACTTTTATCCTGTGAAGGAGAAGATAATAAATTGAATATCACAGCAAGAGAAAATAAGAATTCATGCTGGAGTGGGAAACTGCAGTGGCCTCACAATTGTTAGTGCTGGATTACAGCATAGGATGGTTGATGAAATAGGTTTTACTAGTGGTAAGTAACAAATCCCACGATAATGAAAACATGGGATTCTGATGATCATCATTAACCATACAATAGCTTTACATGCAGAATCACTTCTGAATGTGAAAATCAGCCACATAAATCTACTATTTGATTTCCACTTTAAAAAGCCCTATAAATGCAAATATACTGACGGTTGATATTGGCATTTATAACACTTTACTCAGGGTTGTATTGCCATTGCTATTCTCCAGCTTTATTTTCCAAGACACACATCTCAGTAGCATTTGAAAGCTTGCAGGTTTTGCACAGTGTGCACTCTAAGACTCATTCACCTTCATCCAGCAAACCCCTGACCTTGCAGAAAATAATTTCTGTCTCTCCTCCTAAGCACCTAACATACACAGCTAAGTCTGTTCTCACTTAGCACACACACATTTACTTTTACAGTGCTGAGCCAGACGGTGAAACCATTTCCCTTACCTGGTTGCAAACATTGCTCTCAAGGATGAGAAGGTTGCTGCATCTTCCTTCAAAGCCTTTAATTCATTCCGTAGTTTGGTCATGGTTTCAGTCACCATTGCTTTTTCATTTTCGTATTTATTCTTCAAATTGGCTAGTGCCACTTCAGCTGTCTGAAAACACAAACAAGGATATATGCTTATGAGACAGGTATCTGATAACAGCTAAGATGCCATGTTTGATTTTACTTTAGGTTTCCTTCTTCATTCATACAGTGAAAGAAAGTTAGGCCTGAGCTTCATTGCACTGCACCCTTTAACGTCTTCTTTTAAGTTGTACTCCGTGAAACCAGGAAAAGGAGAAAGCAGTTGAAAGGACAAAGCCAATTTCAATGCATTGGCAACAACTCGATACCTTAAACGTCTCTGCAAAACTGTGCAGCTGTACGTTGAGGGCTCGGGCAAGTGAGTAAGTTACTCCAGCTTAAGGAGTTGCTACCGTGTTATTTGAGCTGCAACAACCAACCAGATGTGTCCCATGACCACGCTGCAAACAGGACGCATGGCACGTGAGACTCAGACTCTGTAGCCAAGGTGGGAACTAACGCGTCTTGCCTCATGATTCCGGCCAGATGACGTTTTCCTTGGGCGAGGCAACTGCTAGGACCTGACAGCTTGCTTTTATGTCTGAGCACTGTCAGTGCCCACTGTCGGGCAAAACAGCATTATTTTGGCAGTTTTAACCACTACAAAAAAGAACAAAAAAAGTGTAAATTACAATTTTCATTTAATAGGAAAGCGAGGGTTTAAAGTCATCCTATTCCTTCATTTTTTCTGCTTCCTCCTTTCTTTTTTCAGTTTCAACCATTACATTTCTTTAATTTATTGCCCTACTGCTTTTAATAGTTACATATGTCTTATTTCTGCAGGAGATGAACCTTCTGTTTTACCTACGAAGTCCGGAATAATTTTGAGGTTATTCAAAATACATAGTTTTATAGAGGCTTTATACCTACTGCTGCTATGAGACATTTAAAATTATTGCCATTGAACGAGATGAAGAAAAAAAATGTTTCCTTTTACATTTACTCAGTGGGGAGTTATGGTTGTTTTTTCACTTCATTTAGTGCATAATAAGTTGCAGGCAATCAGTTTCCCCTGTTGATCTTGTGGGTTCTTGAGTCATCACCAGGGGAGAGAAGTATAGAAGAACATTAGTTTAAAGCAACCAGCAAGAGGACATGACAAAAGATGGTAATGGCCAAACAGTTGGAAACCTATTTTAAACTCAGTTTTCTGAAACTCAATACATTTCCCACTAACAATGTCTCTTAACAAAAGGACATATTACCATCTCCTACTAAAATACAACTCTATTCATTTGTGACTGGGGAAATAGCACAATTGGAAATGGCAGCATTAAAATAATTCAATTTTTTTTCCAATTGTATACTCACCGATAATGTTTTCTCTACTTTCATACTAGTTTACATTGAGAGAAGAGATTTTAAAAAATCACTTGTAACTACCTGTCATTTTATATAGATGGATTTTTCCATGCCAAATTTGAAATCATCAGCAATACATGTTAAAAAAATCAACCACTTAGGGACATATTCAAATAAATACAGCTTTTCTCAACCTTGCTGACATATGCTTTGGTATAATGTAGGATGGTAGACACCATCCTACACCTTGGCAGGATAAAGCAGAAACTGTCAGCTTTCTATCTGTTTTCAGCTATGAGCAATAATGTACACTCATAAATTAACATGGAGAAGAAGGTTTAACTATGTTTAATAAAACTACTTTTTTGAAGGGAAATCTAAGAAATACAGCATCAGAGGACAAATTTCTATTTAACAGACATGATTAAATCAGATTTATTTAAGAATTTTCAGGTCCCTAATGAGGCAGAAGTGATTTATGAGAGCACAGGTAGACTCTACAGCTCAAACTGAGTTCTGCTTTGCCCCTAGGGCAGGAATTCAGATGTCTTTGCTTTGCAAGACAAATACAGCCCTATGTCCCTTAACCTATCATAACTCATCTTCAAATACAGAATTCACGTAAATATTTTCCTTTGTTTAGGAATGAAAATGAGTTAAAGATATGTGCCACCTAATGCTAGACTTCTAAAAAAAATTATTAAGTTGTTTCAGCAGTGGGATTACATATTCCATGTAAACCCAATAATTTACGCATCACTGAAACTGTGCACAATGATCAGACAGATCATTGTGATCCCAATGTTTTAGTCTGGATGTCAGGGTAAGTTAACTGGACATGTAACACTACAGGATGAAAAATAACTTAGAAATATAATTTAGTTGGTGAATAAAGGTAACAGAGGAAGGGCTGTGTCAAATCTTCAAACCTCTTTTTTCCTTTCTATTAGTTTTCCATAAAACAACATATAGAAAACAAAGCATAAATTGCAAAACCTGTTGGAAGTGCCTGGTGGCTCTCCGCACACCAGACAGGCTTTTGAACACACCCAGGCTGTCGAGGGTTTCCCTTCTGAAAGTCTCCTAAGTAGATGAAGAACGAATGGGCACAAGTGCTCTGCTAGAGAAGCAAATAAAACTAACAAAAATGTGTTTTTAATAGGCAAGAGAAAGAAGGGGGAAGCAGGCAAGGGTAGCTTCTGTTAGAAACCTGCAGCCAGGGCCAGCAGAGCAGCAACGCATCGCTTTAGCGTGAGGCTCAAGAGGTCCTTGTAAGAGCTGGTGGGCGCCCGACTGTGCGGATGCTCAGGTTACCGACAGCTCATCGGTTTGGAACCTGGATGCTGACTGAAGCCGATTGCTGTCAGACTCCTTGGCTCTGAAGATGACATTTTACAATGCAGCCAAGTCAATCTGTATTGGCTAGCTGCCACCAAAAGAATAATTACCCAGCCTTTCCCCATCCCTACCCTTTGCACATTGTGTGGTTTTCTTCTATGCTTACTGTGACCCAGTTTGGGGAGCCCGAAGAGGCAGAAAACTTGCCTGAAGCACCCTGGAGCCAGAATGTGTGATGGGGAGCGGGGCTGAGGGGAGAAGGGGAGCTTGGACTCCATCTTTCAGAGGTACCTATGTGCCTGGTCAACTCAGCTGTACTGCTAGACTGTGCAAGAGTAATAGGGACAAAATGAACTGAAGCCATAGCTTCATGTTACTCTTCCTCCAGCAGCAGCTCTAGTCTAAATTATTTCTATTTGTTCCCCCTCTCAGCCAATCTCCAAAATTGTGCCCATTGAACCACATATGTGTGGTTTTGCCTGAAACCAGTTCTGTGGGATAATCTAGATTTTAAAAACCTGGGGTGAACGGTGCATTCGGAGAGTGCTCTGAAAGGAAGGATAGGGCAAATAAAAGTCTGCATCCCCAAGTAGTGGGTGCCAGAAGGAAGCAGATGCCCAGGACCTGGCTTTGTTTTTAACAGCTCTTTCTGAAGCATTTGGTTTTAAGCTGTGGTTAACTACAAAACTCTGTTAGAGAAACTTCGCTCCACGTAAAAATGCAACCTCTGAGCAACACACATGGAAATGGAGAGTACAAGAAAAAGATGAAAACACATAAAAAAGTGTGATACTCTTCAGTGAAGTAAATAAAGCAATAAGACAGGAGAGGGGCTAATGAGACTCCTGACAGGGGACCAGTCATGCAGAGGAACTGGGCGAACGCACTACCCAGCCACTCGACGAGCCACCTGGAGACACAGGATAAATGGCTAGCAGAGCACGTAGCATTTGTTGTGCAGAGGACATCACCTGTAGCTGAGGATGGGAGGGAGCAGAGAGCTCCAACACCTGGACTCCTGCAGGGTGTGAAACACTATCCAGGAAGAGAGAGCTGGGGCACACAGAGCTCACTGCCCGCATCCCCAAAACCCAGCCATGGAGCTGCACAGGCTGAGGTGGGCACACTCCTGAGCCCAGGAACCGAGGCACTGCCAGAACTAATGACGTCCTTATCCTTGCAGAAGAGATGCCCAAATCCAGCTGCCTAAAGCTTGCTATCCAAATCCTGAATCCGTGAACAAACCTCATTTCCTCTATATATTCACATTCTAAGATGACTTCATATCCCATTTACTTTACATTAGCAGCATGAGAAGCAAACCAAGTAAAAAAATCATTGCTGAAAGAATATTAAGTCCTACAGTAGTAAGTACTTATTTTTTCACACAAGAAAGCAGAACAGTAGCCTGTTATTTTAGTGTAGAAATTGTATGTGGTATTGGAACTTTCCACACAGCCTCACTTTCCCAGAGAAGTTCTACTGTATTCTGTCTATATGACATCAGGGCATTTGTTTATAGATAAGGTACTGTATGTCTGGGGTTATCAGGTTATTTTTTCTGAAGGACTTTTATGGGCATCTCAGTTATGGGAGCTGGAGACACCATAGTTAGGGCCAATACAGATGTGAAGGTCTTGCTGACTCAACTCCTTCCCATCAAACTGTTTACCTATGAGAACAACCATAGAATCACAGAATGGTTTGGGTGGGAAGGGCCTTTTAAAGATCATCCAGTCCCACCCCCCCTGCCATTGGCAGGAACATCTTCCACTAGACCAGGTTGCTCAAAGCCCCATTCAACCTGGCGTTGAACACTTCCAGGGATGGGGCATCCACAACTTCTCTGGGCACTGTTCCAGTGCCTTACTACCCTCATAGTGAAGAATTCCTTCCTTATATCTAATCTAAAGCTACCCTCTTTCAGTTTAAAGCCATTACCCCCTGTCCTATCACTACAGGCCTTTGTAGAAAGTCCCTTTCCAGCTTTCTTGTAGGCCCCCTTCAGGTACTGGAAGGCTGCTACAAGGTCTTCCTGGAGCCGCCTCTTCTCCAGGCTGAACAACCCCAACTCTCTCAGCCTTTCCTCATAGGAGAGGTGTTCCATCCCTCTGATCATTTTTGTGGCTTTAAAAGCAGGTCCATGTCCTCCTTATGTTGGGGGCCCCAGAGCTGGACGCAGTACTCCAGGTGGGATCTCACAAGAGCAGAGTAGAGGGGCAGAATCACCTCTCTTGACCTGCTGGTCATTCTTTTCATGCAGCCCAGGATACCGTTGGCCTTCTGGGCTGCGAGCGCACATTGCCAGGTCATGTTGAGCTTCTCATCAACCAACACTCCCAAGTCCTTCTCCTCAGGGCTCTCTCAATCCATTCTCCGTCCACCCTGTATTTGTGCTTGGGATTGCCCTGACCCACGTACAGGACCTTGCACTTGGCCTTGTTGAACTTCATGAGGTTCGCACGGGCCCACCTCTCAAGCCTGTCAAGGTCCCTCTGGATGGCATCCCTTCCCTCCAGCATGTCAACTGCACCACACAGCTTCTTGTTGTCTGCAAACTTGCTGAGGGTGTACTCAATCCCACTGTCTATGTATGTCACCAACAAAGATGTTAAACAATGCCGGTCCCGATACCGACGCCTGAGGAACACCACTCGTCACTGCTCTCCACTTGGACATCGAGCTGTTGACCACAGCTCTTTGAGTCCGGCCATCCAGCCAATTCCTTATCCACCGAGCAGTCCATCCATCAAATCCATGTCTCTCCAATTTAGAGACA